TCATCTATATCATTTTTATTTATTCTTAATTTATTAACGAGAGAGTTTACAAATTCTTTAACAAAAAGTTTAGTTGCCATTGTTTCTATTCAAAGAGTTAGATTGTATTGTAGTCTTTTATTAACTGTAAAAATAGTCAAATATAAATAAAATATTACATTGAGTAAATATATTTGGTTGGGATTTACGACCAACATCTAAGTCTTATCTTGTACTATTTATTTTTATTAGAAATAAACACGTAATTTTTGGGGATGTTAATACCAACGTATTGAGTGTAGAATTCTTTTATCACCTGATCTTCTTTTGTTGTTCTTGTTAAGCGATCATAGACCGTTCGTGTTAAATTTAATACTCCTAATGAATCATATGTACTGACACGTGAGACTGCGGTATATGCGAGTTTCTGACTACACCCTCGTAGATCTACTACCGCTCGTTTTAAAGTAGTGCCTTGGGATTTATGTACCGTTATTGCGTAAAATGATATCACTGGAAATTGTTTTTGTATGTATACCTTCTTATTATCATCTTTCTCGGTCATTTCACAGACACTGATCATAACTTCTTCCTTGGTGTCATCGAGTTGAATAATCATATCGTGGTCAAAATACCTTTCTCCATTATCGATATCAAGATTACGATATTTACATTCTCTTTTTACTCTTATCACAGGATCCCCTTTCTCCTTCTGTGATTGGATCTTGGTCGACCATCCAATGAACACTCCTGATGATCCATTGACAACTGATTCTGAGTAATTCTGAATGACCATAATACGGCAGTTCAATCGTAATCGTAATACATATTCAGATTGTGTATGATTCATGAACAAAAGCTCAAGAGTCTTGTGTTTCTTCAGAAGTTCTCCTACTCTTGAATCTTGACTACTTGTTATTTGTTTTATTATTCGTAAGCTAGGATCGATATTACAAATCTCCTTTATGTAATCTGATATATTGAGCCCGGTTATGATCATATCCTTTCCTGGTAATCGATTTATACGATCGTTGTTATACTCATTACGAAATCGTTTCTGTGAGAATAACCGTACCGCATCATCCTCTAAATAATTACATTTTTTTAGATACTAAAACGTATCCTTGTTTAAAAATCCATATCACAAGTTGGTGCAATGATGTTTAAATTCGGAATCGTTCTGTTTAAAGATTTCTGTTAATTCTACGTAAACAAGATCGAGTGATTTTCACGAATCACGAAGTAGTCCGGAGGACTTATTATTGTACCATTCCTTGTTTAGAAAACACATACCACCCGATGCTGGTGGAAGTTGGAAAAAGTCACCGGTGATTATGAAATGAACTTTACCCAATTCGGTTATTCCATTTTTTGTAAATAGGTGGATGATAGAATCGAGAAGGTCATCATTAACCATCGAACATTCATCTATGATTATTGCTCGCACTTTTCTTAGCCAATCACAGTAGCCTTTATCTCTTAGTTTCTATTTTATCTTGTTAGGCGATATATTCTTACCAAACTTAAATACCGAATAAATCGTCCGGCCGGTTTTACCAGATGATTTTAATTCAAGCACAGCCTTACCGGTAGATGCGGTAATCTCGATATTCACTTGATGGATAATACTGTAATAGGCTATTATAAACTTAAGAACTCGTGTCTTTCCTGTTCCTGCATCACCTATTAGAAAAATATTTTTGCGAAGTATCAAGGCAACGTGTAAAGCTCGAATCTGGAGAAAAGACATTTTCTCTAGTTCATTTCTGGCATTTAC